ACACTTTTAATACATCAATTAAGGTAGCAAATACTATAAACTTAACTTAACTTCAATTAATAGATAATTTAAGGCTATTTAAAAAAATATGCATTGCAAATGTATTAAAAATTGAACAAAATGATAATCACTTGGATAGTAATCTACCATTTTTTCCAGTTCAAAACCCAGGAACGGGTGGGAATTGTTTATCATAATACTGCCACCAGTACCTACCACCTGGATAGTAATATACTATAATTTTAAACGGTCGTAGTAGGTACCTGTATTTTGTCGTAGTAAGTGTATATTTTATGATTGTTAAATGTTATAAATAATGTGATCTATGGGCGAAGTATGATACCGTGTCAGTACTTTGAGGAATAGTCACAAGTAAAATAAATCATTTTTATGTGAATTGAAAAGTAACTTTATTAAACACGAGTAATTGAAAAAATGAATGAGCCCAGATCCTATTTAGTGAAAGATAAATGTGTTCGGTCATAAAGGAGGAATAGAAACTTTCTCAAGATATTAAGAATAGGTAGACAGAACAACAAAATGAATGAAAAAGATGTCTTGCAAGTCGTCAAGTCGAGTATAATTGCAAGTTAAAAGAAAAATTAATACGCTTTCCAACCACATATTTGGCGACTACACTATAATATTATAATTTTCGACACAGTTGTTATTAACATTGTGAATTATGTTTGACGAATGGTGTGCCAATACATTTTTTGCAGCTAAAATATAATTTCAAAGACCGGAAACTTCCAAATCGGGCAATAAATTATTTTCACCGTCTTTTGGGCCATTAAAAAAACACTTTGCACAATGTGTATGGCATCCAAATAGGTAAACGGTAAGGTCCATTCAAAATAGCAGATTTTAATAGTTTCAAAATTTTATCAAAGTTAACTTCAAAATGTTGCAATTTTTTTATTCAATCCATTAGTATGATTTTTGTACGAATTTRTAAACAGTGTGGTACATAATTCGTATGACCGAAGATTCTCAGATWTAWCAAAAACCCCTCGGGCGATGGCGAGATCCCCCCTAACATAGAGAAACTGAATTTTTTTTACCAATGCATTGCCCTCTGTTTGTACTTATTTGTATACACAGTACAAGCATTCATACGAACTTCGTTCTGGAGAGTATAACAGATAACCCCTCAGAGGCTTTTGATATATCTGAGTAGGTACCTTCTGTCATACAAATTCTGTACCACTGCGGAACTGCTAGCAAATTCACCAAGGTAGGCATTAACTTGTTAAAAAATTATTTTTTTTTTACTTTTTAACTTAACAGTTAGTTTATTTTCTTATCAACTTATGAACTTAAATAGTTTATTTTACAGTTGAAAACATAGCTTTATTCAATTGATTTAAAAATAATCCATCAAGTTAAAAATGTTGAGAAATTTTTCATTTATACGTAAATATTAAAATGAAATATAAATAATCCAAAACTATAATAACACTATCAATTCTGTTCTTTTTATTGATAAAATAATTTTGTATATTGGTTTATTTTATTAGATTAGATAGACACAGTCACCTTTATGCAATTTACATATTAATTTAATAAAAATAGATTAACTTTTTAACTAATCGAGATAAATTCATAATTTGTTAACTGTTAACTTTTAACTATTAATCATATTATGTCATCTTAACTGTCGTATATTGTAGACAGTCGTCAAAATAATATTATTATATATATTATATAATTTRAATTGTAAATTATATCAACATAGGACAGTGAAGCTAGATATGCTGAGGTAGTGAGGTGGCATAAATATTTCCTATATAACGACGCCCAGACACATAGGCGCAGGCAATCCCGTTGTCGATGAGTGATTCGGTGAGAACGTAGGTACGGTTGTACGTGTGAAATGTAAATCGGTAATGCACATAACTACATAAGCGTATAACTATGGGAGGAATTGGGGGGTTAAACTAAGCAGTCCCCCCAGAATTAATTTTAGCCTCCCTACTGTTATAATTCCTAGTCCCACATTTCCGTCAATAGTAGTAAAATTTTTAAACCTAATTTTAAAATATCATTTTATTATTTTTATTAATATCTTGGATAATTTTTTTATTTTTTTTTTTGGTTAGGTATTAAACTATATTATTGTATGTAATGATTCTGTGTAACTATGTGTAAGACGTATCATACTATCATGTTGTGTAGTTTTTACAACATAAATATTAAATACCAACTACATAGAAGTTGTCAATAAACTTAAACATAAATATATTCATATAAGACGTACGATTATTAATAAACATTAAACGGTGATAACGATTAACGAGTAACGATGACCGGACGACAATATTGCTGTGCCTGTCGGCYGCGTATAGGGGTGTTTTTTGCTAAAAATAGAATCAGATTTCATATTATTTTCCTCCTTCTCTAAGTACAATAACGTCAATAAGATGTAACATTTACCTCAAAAGGGTTTAATAACTAGAAAAAAGTAAGTTAAAATATACATACAGACAAATATTTTATTTTGTTTAAAAATTAATAGGTATTAAATTTGTATTAAATTATTTTACAGATTAGTGGGTCTAAAAGTATTGGTAAAGGTTCCAAATCAAAATTTCAACTGCACTCAGCTATACTATCTACCATATAAATKGTATGACAAAATGGTCTTTGCGTAAAAAAGCAGATCAGTCTGGTTCTATACACACTTCATTGTCTAATGCTCACCGTGAAGTAGTAGTTAAAAATCAAAATTATATTTAAGTCTCATTGATATTTTATTATTTCTTGCGCGCCAATGTTTAGCGTTTAGAGGCCATGATGAAAGCGATACTTCACTAAACAAAGGTAAAACTATTAACTTACTTATCTCATTGTATGTCAWTAATATAGAATAATTTGTGTTWWTCTCGTGTAATTTTAATTTTAATATCCAAGGAAACTTTAAATAGATGTGTAAGCTTCTTTCTGACTATAATTCTAAGTTCTAACTTCAATGATATACGAGTATTTAGTAATGACTAATGAAATAATCAATTATACTAGTCCTAAAATACAAAATTAGTTAATTGATAATTGATATCTATGCAGACAATTTCTTGAATATTATAGTTGATGAAGTTAATAAAGTATCTTTTTTTTCAATTATGTGTGTTGAAGCCTGATGGTAATTAGTTATTACTTGTTAAAAACTTAAGTTAAAACTTTTAAAATCTTAACATTTGTGAGCGATTTTTGGGTTTTGTGAATGTTTCTTCTAATCAAAATGCGGATTTTCTTTCATCAGCCATTACTTAATTWAAAAAAAAAATCAACTTGGATAAAATACCAATTATTGCACAGAGTTATGATGGAGCAAGTGTTCTAAAGGTGGTGTACAAAAGAAGCTAAAAGGTTATTATCCATATGCTACGTATATACATTGCATGGAACATAAACTTAACTCGGTTATACTAGATATGTGTAAAAACATAAAGGTTAGTTATTTTACCTTTATWTTTATTGTAATTTATAGTTATGCTTAACAAAAAAATTACCGTATTTTATAATGTAATTCATTGTAGACTAATATCTTTTCCATTCAGCAATCTAGAACTGTATTCAATGCATTAGTCAATCTATGTGCACTTCTCACAACCTTCAAATAATACAAAACTGAGACATGTAAAAGAATTTTAATATGAAAAAAATTACACTTATTGCCATTAGTTATACAAGATGGGTATTTCATTATAAGAATAGTAAAGCAGTTATTGAAAATTTTAAATCTATTGTAACTGTTTTCGATGAAAATAATGAAAGAGATAACTCCAGATCGATTGGTTGGTATATTAATTATTAAATACATTTTAACAATTTTAAGAGACATTAACTCATAAGTAATATTTTATAATTTTTGTAGGAATTTTAGCAATGATACAAAATGGTTCCTTTATTGTTCATCTCCGTGACTCCATATTATAARTTATGTATTGAGTATTACTCATATTTTAAGGAATAAATTACAAAATACAAATGGGACATTAGATGAAGTAGCTTGTCTTATTAATGGAATTATAAATACATTTGAAAAAAAGTAGCAATTTAGATTCATTTTCAGACATTTGGAATGAAATAGTCACATTTTCAGTTGAAAATAATATAGATTTGACACGTGAGTATTTTGAATACCTACTTTATAAAGTAAAAATGATGACTAATATTAAGTATAAATTATGTAACTTAATTTTTTTTTTAGTATCAAAGAGAAAAAGACAAGAGCCTGCTGCATTAAAGGGTTTTCATGAATTCATGATACAAATACCACTGATGCAGATGGTGGAGGTATTCATTATGAGGATAATGCAAAAGAATATTGGAAAAACCATGCTTTTATCCTGTGATTGATAGTATTATAGTTAACATGAAACACAGATTTTTCACCAGATAGTCTTAAACTGGCCATATCAATTGATCTAGACTATAAACAAAGTGAAATTTTTGTTAACCAGTATAAGGTAAATCATTAAGCCATGTAGCCATAGAGGCAATACTATTCATTAATATTATATTATTA